TTCATTAAAAACACCTTAGGTCATATCTAAAGAATGTAGTATTTCTGGTAATTAATGAGTATGGTTAGTACATATTGGTGTTTTTATTTAGGAGTAGATGCAACACTATGGGCTATGTTTAGTGATAGGTGTTTTATTTTATTTTTTTATTTGTTTGTGGCTGCATCCTCTAGGTGTTTTATTTTTGTTTAATCTGTTCGTGGCTGCATCATCCACACTGGATGTTTTATTTTATTTGTATTTTTATATTTCCTATTATGTATGGAGGTCAGTGGAGGGGGTGTTGTAAAGGAGGAGATACATGACAAAAGTAAAGAAATTAAGTAGCTGACCGAGCTTGCCATGTGAGAATGAGGGGGAAGCTGTGTGCTTGTGGGTACTTATTAATTTATTTGTGCTGTCTCTTTATGTCACAATTTCATGTGGTTTAATTTACTGAGGAGAAAAAAGCTGTCCAAGTCAACTCTGTCCCTATGTAAAATAAAAAATAAAAAAAAACATACAGCAGTTTCCCAGTAACCTTATTTTTACCACACCTGGTATCAACAAATTCTGCAAGGAATTTGTGCTAAATTATAATGAACATTTCATACTTCTGTCAAAGATATTCCCCAACTTTTTTTGCAATATTTCTTTTTAATGCAAGACAAATTCACATTTTCAATCCTTACGGGCTGTTTAAATTTACGCCACGGTTTTCTGAATCTGAGTTAAGTAAACTATGACAACTCAAAACCACAATTTAAAAGAAAGGATGCCAGTCAGAGGTGGATTCTTAAACCCCAGACTACCACAACAACATGTCTGATTGTAATTATGGTGATAGTTTTAGAAAATACTGCGTTAGTTTTACTCATGCAACTCTTAAATTAGTGATATGCACCAATCTTAACAAAGCCAAGTTATCCTTGCAGGCCTTTACATATATTTTAGTTTCAGCTGTAACCTCGAGGAAGAGTTTTTGTGAATGTGTTGAATGTGTGTCTTGGGAGTCTTGAGAATGGCATTATGTGTTACTTTTTGTCATTGTTTTTTCTTTTATCATGTTGTCTGACAGGCTCTATTTAAGTGAGCATTTCATTTAATTGGTACAGGAACAATCAAATCTAAAAAAAAGAAAAAATCATATAATGTGTCTAATATAACTAAGTTACAAATATAGTGCTTTTTCCATACTGTAGGTGTATGTTGGTTTATATGGCTACACTTATGATTTACTCAAATTTGTTTTATCTGTTATAAAAATGTTTAAAAAAAAAAAAAGGTAAATCATGTCACAGACTCTGCATCACACTGATAACACCAAACTAAAAATATATATTTGCACCTTATATATTAATGCCCTTAACTTCCATATCAATGCGTTTTTGCACAACGTTTTTTTTTCTGCTACACTCTTTAAATTTGATCACTGCTGCACTTTGTTGTCTAAGTCTAAGAAAAAAGCAAAAAAAAAATACTAGGAAGCAAATTGCTTTACCCAGAAATTGCTTGAATTAGATTAAGTTCAGACCCAAAAATAATCAGAAGCATGAGTTTTTCTATTTCCTGAATTTTCCTATATTACCTCGTTGATTACATTGATTGTTGTGAAACAATTAATCACATAACCTATAAAGTGTTAAATCCGACACAAATAACAGCACAAAACTATGTTTGAACTAAAGCTTACCATGTGTTTATGCTGGTTGCTGCTAAGTTTGAAGACATAAACTCCAGGGTGGCTAAATACCACTGAGAAGAAGGAAGGAGGAGTCCAGGACAGTGTCAGCTTTTCTTCCAGCAGCCTGAACGAGCCCCAGTCAAAATCACTGTTTGTGTTGTAGAGATTTTCACTGAGACGTGCAGAGAAGATAAGAAATGTTAAAACTTAGTGGATTCTTTTTAAAAAGTTGATCATTAATAAATAATTAATCTGACTTACACATCATACATCGGGTAATGGTGAGTGCTAATGGTGAAAAGTAAAATATCTCCCAAGTGGAGACATGTTGCTGGGTTGAGAACTCCGGTTCTACTTAGCAGACTCGTATCTTCTGTGTCAATCAAGTCTTTATTCCACCGTCTGAAATAAGGGTCTCTTTTTGCATTACTGACGTTTTCTGTAAGATTGAGTTCATCCAGGATATTATGATCTTCCTCTTTAAAACAGAGAAGCAGAAAGTCATCAATGTAATAATTTGATTTTCATGTGTTCATTGTTACTGTATTGTGTGGGTGGTATACATCAGTGACAAACCAGTTGAAGTGGTGTCTGGAAACAGTTGCTGAATTTCCTCTGGGAGCCCACTGAGGAGGCCAAAGAATCCTTCCTCTGCAGCCGTGACACAGACAAGGAAGAAAAAGGAGGTCATGAGTGTGAAAGGGAGCCACAAAGAAGTCTACTGCAGAATAACAATTGTTTATGTGTATAATTGAAAGTTTATCTCCACCTGTTGTCTGAACAATGTAGACAGGACGTGAGGATTTGTGATGGCTGCTGCACTGCAGGGTCCCCTGGGAATCCCACCTTTCAAAAACGGTGTGCAGCACACTGCCTGAGATACTTGACACCTGCAGACACACCATATAAGTGTTTCCCATTTATGGGTCAGGGCAAAACAGGAGCTTAGGCTGTAGGTTTTGTTTACAATAAATGTAGTGATGCATCTTTGTATGCATTATCTGAACTGGCTTTGATGCTTGCTAATCCATAGTCAGTGGAAATATAATATGGATGTTATAGTAGCATTTAAGATAACATTCAGTAATGTGATATATTTTATCTGTACTGTAAATCCACCTGACTTCCATAGCTCCATGTCACGGCCATGTATTTATCATATCTGCACTGGAGCTTTAGATGGGTGGCCAGCTTCCTTCTGCATAGGCCTCCACATGCAGCTCCACCAGGAGGCTCTCTGCAGACACACAGACCCAGTTCCCTGTCATAACCACTGTAGTCCTCCGCTGTTTGGCACACCTGCAGAAAAACAACCAAAGCAAACCCGATTACCTGTAACATATAAATTCCTCTGTTTCAACACAACTATGAAATCATTGCTGAGCAGAAGTCACAGGAAGAGGTTGATAGTTAGATATTAAGTAGGTTTAGTAAGCTTTGAGGTTGTTTCGGGTTCAAAGATTAAAGGGCAAAGACATCCAGGTTGAACTCATTACCCTAAGCGATCGTAAGCTGTGTGTTTACTCTGTAGGTTCTGTAAACAGGTCACAGTTGTTTCATATCTTTTGTATGAGCTTCCTGTCTCAAATCATTTGTAAAAGATAGACCGACAACCTTTCCCCTAGTTTTCTTGTGTGTGTCTCAGTTTGAAAAGTCCTTATCACAAATAGAAGCATTTACTTCATCTTTGCAGTGAAGCGACCATTGGTGCTGGTCCAAGCATTCCCCATATTGTGTACGTGATTTTCCGTCCCTGCAGACATCGTAGACTTTTTTCACACACATTTCCCCGTCATTAGTGGGTTGATATCCGATTGTACATAAGCAGCGTCCATCCATGCTCTATGGGAAAAGGAATAGATGGAAGAAGGGTGATATAAGCAAAACCAGGATTTAAAACATGGAGGACACTTTTAACTATACAACTTTGTTTCTTTATTATTTTTTGGAAATTTCTTTCAGGGTGCAGCTGAGATGATGAGCATCATTTAAACACTTAACTCTGGTTACCTCCTTCCTACTCTTTGCCTCAAATTTTGCATATTGCAACTGTGACATATGTTGAAATACATTATGAATTCACAATAACTACACAAAGTTTAAGTTAGCAGAGTTGTAGTTATATGAAAGCTAAATTGCTTTTATTTTTTATGCTCAGTATAGATTGTCAGATCTATACTGATCGTCAGGCCATGACAAATTCTTCTACCAGGTCTTAAGTCTCTACAGCCCAAGAAATACCAGTAAAGCTCATTGCTAATAAAGCATGTTGCTGCTTAGTCTGACTATGGCCTTCCAGTAGAGTTTCCATCTTTTTTTGTTCATCAGTTTTAGATAAAGATTATCATCGTCCATTATTATCTAAATAAATGTTTTTAATATGCCATTGAGTATAAATATTGCTTTGGACATTTTTGTATCTGTTATAATCCTTTATTTGAGAAAATATATTTGATCTCTGTCCAATTTGACTTTAACTAATGGTTACAAATATGTAACCTCAAGAAGACTGAATGCACCAGATTTACTTGCTGCTCAGCTAAACTGCTGAGGATAACTGTAACGTGAATGGAGAAAGATTTTAAATGACTTGTAAAGGTCTCCTTTCTTACATGAGAAAAATCTGCCACTCTAACATAGGTGTAAACGTATCAGATCCACTTTAGCTCTTCTATAAGCAGCTGACTCCCAAGTGTTCTACAGATAACCCCGCCAAAAAATCTCATTCCACTGATCCTGAGCTGATGAGAGAAGAGGTCAACACCTATGTAACTGCAGCCACCTGGGAAACCAGATCCTTCTGTACAGTAATACTATCCTGGGCGCTCTTGGCTTGAAGCTACAGATTGTTTATCATCTAATACATCTGAGTGACAGGCAGGAAGCTCATTCTCTTGCATTCATATGGAAAGAACAGCAAGACAAAAAAAAAATCATAACCTTGTTAAATGGGTGTTCCTTTGCTTTAAAAGATGGTACAGCAAATAAACTGTGTAGCATTGCCTCAGATAAGAACATTTGATTTGGATACTTCTTTGATCTGCAAGGATTACTTTGCTGGTCTTTGTACTTTATAGGAATGCTTAGATGAGAAACAAAGGAAAAACACCTGAAAACTCTGTCCTTCTCCTTGGCAGATGCAGACATCCTGGCCAGACAAAGGCTGCAGAGCCACAGGACCACAGGCCAGTGGGGTAGGCAAGCCGGGTCGAGGGCAGTAATGGTCTGGAGGACATTTGAGACAGCTTTCCTCGGACACAGCTCCAACAGTTGGCCCATAAGTTCCCTTAGGACAGGGGACTAGACCAAAGCCGGCCAGAGGACAGTAGAAACCTAATATGTGCAAAACAAATTTCCCTCTATCTTGCCTTTTGATGTTATAGTTAGGGAAAAAATGAGGGAGAGAAAGAGTAAGACGAGGAAAAATACAGTTGGGAAAGCTTACCTGGCTTGCAGTGCAGACTTTCCTTGTTTTGTTGACTGATGTTCCCTTCATAGGCCATTGCACTCAGAACCTCAACAAAAAGCCAACAAAAGCACACGTTTCTACAACTTTGCATTTTTTTTTAAGATACTGACATGCTTAAATAAAAATCCCATAAGCAACACTTTACTACACTGAAACTGATAAAAACATTGTATCTGTTGTTTAAAAAAACAATCTGACATAAAATTGTGTAAAAGTATTCAATTAACAAAATGCTACTGTCCACCACTGTCCACAAATGACTATACAGCAAGCTAGTTAGTCTGCATAACTTTCAGTGGGTAGCTGAATCATTCATTAGGCCAGTGAGGTTAGGTGACAGTGACAGTAAAGTGACTGCTCAAAGGAAAGGAGTCGGCAGAGAGAAGGGAAAGCATGATCTGGCCGAAGGATCACTTTACAACATGTGTTTTTCTCAATCCTAACATGAAACTGATTATTGATTTGGCTCCAGATGAGACAACACTGCTTTTCCTTACTTGTTTTATCAAATACACTTCTAATATTTATCCAGAAATGTTTTCTATCTCACTACAGTTTATTGAAATAGGGGCAGTTCAACAGCACAACACAGTGGCTCAACCAAGAAATAAACACAGCTGAATATTTAGGACCAGGGGCACTTTCAAATAATATAAAAGTTGCATAAAACAGCAAAAGCTCTTTAATTGGCTCTTTTGGGGGAAATAAACAAGAAAGGATTTCCCAATTAGTACTGTCAATGGGACAAATGGGATAAATCAGAGAGTTCATATACTAGCAACAATATTTCTGGCAACTTTTTCCAGGGAATAAACATGGCTAATCATAAAAACACTAAAAGGTTATTGCTCTCTAGGAAAAATTAAGTAAACCTAGTTAAAACAATCAGTAACTAATTACTGGCTTCTATCATGATTGAAACACAGCTCAACATGAACAGTTTGATCAAACTGAGTGTACATGACGTACATGACGGAACGACATGTGCTCTGGTTTCGATGGCTCCTTCCCAGAAAGAGGCCATGTTGTATCTCCTCTGTTTTTAAGACGCTTTAGATTAAGCTAAAATGTTTGGTTTTCCCTGGACTAGACTAGAAAAATATATTAGCCTCTAGTTTCCAACAAAATAAAGAAGGTGCATAAAAGTTTGAGTGACAAAAGGCTTTTTAAATGTGTGATCTAATTTTGTCAACATGCACTGTGATCAAAACTATTTGAACAACCATTTATAACAGATAGCAAAAAAATACAGTTTTGTGAAATCACTCCAAACATTCAATTGGTACCTGATTATCTATGTCTGGGAAATAATCAATTGCACAATGTCAAAGGGTCGCCCTTTGCTCTATAGTAAAATGACAAAAAAAAAAAAAAAAAAGCTTTGCTCATTGATATGAGATACTGTTAGCTTGCCGATCATTTCAACACAAGAGTTAGATAATAAGTTATATTATGTAACATTTTCTTTTCCTACAAACTCTCTCGCATGTGTTCAGTGTATCATTTGGATGCAGCCAGTTTTCTTTTTTGAATAGATCTGGCTGATCTATGCTGACTCAGCCAATGGTCAACTCAGCAGTGCAGAAAACCGTCAACAGGCCTGTTTTTATGTTCAGCAGTCAAGGTCTTACTAAACTCTGTTATTGTAGTGAAATAAATGTGAGACTTTGGATACCTGGAATAACCTACATAAGGGATTTCATCACCACAGCCATGGACATTGACCCCACAGTGACGACTAGGGACTTATCTAACAGAATCAGACTTAACTTTCACCCAGATCTCAAAACCTGGTAAAACCTCAAAGAAATAAAGAGTGAATCCTGTGTACTATGAAAAACATTTTTCGTGCTGTGAATAAACAGTTTATTTATTTAATGTTATCTGTCAAGCAGATAATGCAAAGTGAGAAGTTCAGAGCTTTCTAAGCAGGTCTAATTTCAACCATTGATAAAGCATTAAAAAAACATAAATATAGTTAGTCTACTGGGAGATTCTCACAATATTTACTAAAATTAAGCTTTATGATGGTCGAGCTGTAGATAATATCATTGTGACCTCATACACTGTGTTTGTGAGCATTTGTATACGTGTTTGATAATCATTGTGACCCTCCACGTGTTGACTGTTGACAAAGGCAGAGTTAGGGCAGTCTCTGATAAGAAAGACCTTTATAAGTCAGAGGCGAAGAGAAGTCAGCCCACAGACCCCCGATCCATTGAAAGACCAGCTGATCTTCCTCTTATTCTAAGTAAGGGAAATGTAAAAAAAAAAGAATAAGTATATTTTTTTGTCAAATGTCTTTGTTTTTTTGTGTGTGTAAATCTTAACTGTTTCCCTTTTTTCACTTTTACAGAGATGATTCTGAAATTCATTATCTTCACCTTATCACTCTCAACAACTTTAGGTATTTTTTTTTTACTTTTATGTCTCAATTTTTTATGTTCTTTGCCGTTTTATTTTCTAATTTTTATTTATTTTTTTCGTGTGTATTCATTTTGTCTGCAGCATACCCTTTACACAGTGACTCCAGGGAGGCACCCTGGGTTGACTCAAAGGCAAATCACGTATTTGACAAGACAAACCTCTCAAAAGATGGACAGTAAGTCGACTAAACTGGCAGCTGTTATCAAAGTCAATAAAAAAATATTATCAAATGCCTTTTGAAAATGTTAATATCCTTTGAACCATTTCCCATTCAATAATTCACACTTATGTTCAGTCCTCCCAAATTAATACCTTGTAAAAAAAAAAACTTTTCTTGCAATGTCTTCAGCAAGTCTTTAACACCCTATGATGCCAACACCTTCACTCATTTAAAGACTAAATTTTTGTTTTTTCATTGTTTTAGGTCTTTCTTTTAATTAGGCTATTGGGATACATTCATGTTTATTCAGAGTTGCTGACCGACAGAAAAATCATTTTGCATGTGGATATGGATTTTTTTGCCGCATCTAAAGCCCATATTTGCTACATGGTCAAATAATAGCTTTACCATCAAGGCTTCCCTACCTGAGCTTCTAATCCATGCAGCTCATCCAAATTACCTCTGATTTGTATTCTAGTTGCTCAGCTTGTCTTGTTTAGGTTGATAGATTAAATAGCAGTTGTTGACTTATCCCTCAACAACAAAGACAAGTGAATAACACACTTTTCTGATTTTTATTAACAAAAAAAGACTTAAAAAGGATTGATTATTTAACTTCTGTTTTATAATAATTTGAGCTAACTTAAAATAAAAAACCGGTTGAAGGAGCATTTGGACGTTTAAGGGGCATGAACTTCCAATAGCTATGCTGGACTAAAAGTTAAAGGGTTTTATATATATTTCCTTCCTCCTATTCTTTTAATAAAGAAAGTTTTATTTGAATTTTGCATACATATATCACGGAAGATGTACCAATAGACTTATATTGTTCAATATGATGTTTTGTTTTAGGCTTGTTCAAAAAACAATGAATTCAGCCATCCATTACATGAAATGTTTCTCTTTCTTCCTTTAGTGGGATCTACAAAAGCATCATAGATAGCAGTGGCCTTTACACGCTTGACAATGATGACATGAAGCATCCTCTTGCAGAGGAAATGCAACGTAAGCTCACCATGGAGTCAGAGCGTCTGCGGGTTCGTCTGCGCCAGGAGCTGGCCGAGCTGAGGGAGAGGTTGTCTCCATCTCCAGCTCATCTTAGAGTCACCCTGGCAAGCATGAGGGAGCGCCTGAATCCCCTCACCCAGCAGCTCCAGCGCTCTTTGAGCAGCAATACTCAGGATTTGTGCAGCCAGCTTCAGCTGTACCTTCAGGGCCTCGAGAAATCAGCGACTAAGGCAGAGGCCAGTGCTGCTCTTTATCAAGAAGCAGTCCAGTGGATGAGCCAAACTCTAGAGAGCAGCAGCATCCAGTTAGCCAACCTCATCAGTGACTTTCAAACCTCAGCAAGTGATGTGATTAAACATCTAAAGCAGAGAGATGATGCTGAAGGAGACGCCGTTGGCTCAGAGGTCTGGCAGGCAGTGAGCTCCAAGTTGGGGGAGGAAGTGAGTTCACTGAGGAACGAGGCACAGAGCAGGTTGGAAGCTCTCAGAGCACAGCTGGCAGCTATGCTGGAGTCACCTCGGTCTCCTCAGACTGAAGTGGCATGTGGTTTAGAGGAATTCTGCCATAACGCAGCTCTGCAGAGTCAGGCTCTACCTGCCCGAATAGAGAGGCTGTTTATAGGTGTGGAGGAGGAGGTTGGTGGCGCCCCGTCTCTGCCTTCCGCCTCAGTCATGCAGGAAGGAGGATCTTTGCGGGAAGACTTCTCAGTTAAACTCTCTGCTCTGATACAGGATATTATGCACTCGGTGCAGTAACAAAAACTCTCACAAATGCACTTAACAAGAAAACATCTTGATCATTCATCCTGTATTTTGCCATTGTGTCAGAGTAGAAACTGGCTGTAAACATGAGTAAATGAAAAATGAATGCATTTAAAATTTCTCAGTTTTTCACATTCTGTATGCAAATGATGAAGAAAATATTATCAGGTATTTTACTCTGCGTAAAAGTTTCTCCCTTTGTAAAGTATTTTGTTATACAAGTGTAAAAACAACCTGTTTGTATTTTATTTCTATTGCTGTAAGTTAAGAAAGGGAGAAAGGAATTACTTTATTCATCATTATTTAAGAAAGATTATCTCTATATTTTCATAAAAGTCATCTCATCCAGTCTGCTCTGTAAGGTTGTAGAAAAATGTGTGGTAGGGGTTTCACAAAAATGAAACCACAATCACAGTTAAACTTGAATTAATCCAGGTCCTAAGCATTTTATCAGGTGCACTCGAACTACCGCTTCAACTGTTGTTCCTGCCCACAATCTCTACTTTTTTATTAACCTCTGTACCAGTGGTTGGAAAACTGTAAATATGTCTAAATGATATATTACTAGAACTTAGATAATATTGGTGAACATTTGTGTAAATATTGGCATCTGTCTTTTGTTGTAATGTAACAAATATTTTTATGTAAAGTGTTTTTTTAATGAGTTCTGAACCAAAAAGATTCTGTTGTTTTGATTTTTATTTAAGAAACATTATCTATATTTGAATAAAAGTTCATTAAACTATCCAATGATATTTCTAGACTTTTATATTTATCTATTGAAAAAAAGGAGGCCTTTAAACTGCATGGACAACCAGCTGCACTAATCCTTACATCACTGAGTGCAAAACATCTTAAAACTTTGGGTGAAAAGCACTTCTTGAATGGAATGTGGAGTACTGGAGACCTGCTCTCTGGAGTGACCAATAATTTCTTTCTTGCCGGCATTCCAATAAATGTTTCTAGGTTTGCTTTGAGAACCGCACTTTCAGAACTGCGTTATTTCAGGTCTAAACTTGAATTTAAACTTAACTGGAGAGCATAAATTCTTGCCCTCCATCTGAAAGAACCCATTTGGGATGAAGTGCAGCGGATAGCCTACCACTAGCTAGAACATCAGTGCCAATATTAGTGTCTGACCTGGCAGATGAGCTTCTAGAATAGCGCCACTCTTCAACCTTATGGAAAGCCTTCCCTGAGGTGTTAGGGTCATGTTTTCAAAAGATTAGCCAACACCACATTCACTCAAGTTCATATATGTAAAACAGTAATTCAACCTGTACTTTTAAACATGAAATAAAAAAAAATAAATGTTTAGTCGTATTTGATTAAATGTCAAAAAGAGGTAGAAAATAAAGGGTTCCATCTTTTTATACTGGGTGTGTGAAAATGTCAAATTTTAACTGTATAGTGTAGTTTATTGTAGGTTTGTCTTATCTATAAGTTGATGTCGAAGCTGTTCCAAAAGGTTTCTTTTTCATAAAAAGGATAATATTTGTTTTTAAATTTTTTTTTTTTTAAACTATAAATTATCGATAAGCAATTAAATGTCCAGGAATCAACCATTTTCTTACAGTGTTAACTCTGTAGACAATACTGCGGGATACCACTTCCTTGATTGGAGAATTCATTATAAAAAGAACTAGATAACTTGCTTTTCTGCTAAACCAGTGGTTGAATCTTTTTTTATTTTGATTACTCTGGGTTATGAGCCATGTTTCCTATATTATGAACTTCCACAGATTTTAGTGACGTACCTTTAGTCAGACAGTTAAGAATGTAGAATCAAGAGGATTAAAATATTTTATTTCATTTTCATCTACATAATATATACACAGTAATAAAAGAGTATAAAGTATTTTCGACAGGATTTTGTAAACCACTTTAGAAAGGAAAGGTAGCAGGAAATTTTACAAGCATTATAAAAAAATATATATATGTGCTAGTTCTGTTCTCCAACACTTCACATTCTTAATATTTGTTTTTCACAGTTCAGCTTTTCTATATCTTCTTAGTTAAAGGGCATCCAGAGTTGTGCACAAATAAAACATACTACAGATGCTACATTACTAAATTGCAGCCAAAAAGCAACCCTTTGACATAAGCCTTGAGTTACAGTCTGATTAAAAAATGAGCAGCAAATAATTTACAAGCTGTTTGATCGGTCAGTCAGATTTATGGTGTGGGAGTTATTCCTCCAGATTAATAATACTTCATCATATCAGGCAGCAGGGCAGCAGCTGATCCAAGCATGAGCCACACCAGGCTACTTGCATCCACACCAGCACTCGCTGATGCCACAGTGTGACCTGCTAAACATATGAGATCAGCTGTCAAATTATATTTCAGATTGAGTATTTAGTGTTATTGGGTTGTTATACAACATACTGTAACTAAATTCAAAAATACTTACTGGAGCCAGCTACATCAGGCATCTCTTTAAATAGGAAAGAAAAAATAAATGATCAGTAACACAATTTAGGAGTGAATGTATAGAGAAAGGAGGTTATTCATTTTTAAACCTTTCCGGCCCGTGAACAGGGGTCCGACTGAGACGGTGGCAGAGTTGCTGCTTTCTTCTCCAAAGGCAGTCAAGGATCTTTTTCTTCTGTTGTTACAGCCCTGAAAAAAATGCAGGAAGATTTTGTTCTTTTGCCTCACAAAGATGTTTCTGGTCACAACAAATCCCAGTAAAATAAGTTAATAAAAAGGTTAAAAAGGCATAAAAACTTCTGAATACATTTTCACCTTTTAGAGGATTACTTTACACATGTCAATTTACATTTCTTTACTCTAAACTCTTCATCTATGTCATCATGAAAGACTGTATGAAATTAAAGTAGAGCAAATAAAGAGGTTCACTTTGTTTATTTAGTCTGTCATCTTTCTGAAATGTAAGGTATATCACATACTATCACTTTACAGCATCACATATTTTTGATTGTGTAGAGTTTATCTACAGAGTTTAATTTGTCCACCTTGATTGCTTAGAGCCAATCTATTAACCTTTCCTTATTTTTTTCTATTATTGCTTTTTAGATTTCTGAACTTAAATGGTTTTGTCGTTTACTGTAATTACTTTTCTTCATTTACAAAATTAAAAATAGTAGACCTACAGAGAGCAGCTGTTGACATTTGCTGGGCTCACATAGTCTCAGTATGCAATGCAGGTAAATGCTGGACTTTTGCTGGTCTTTGTGCTGAACAAAGCGGAAGGCCTCAAAGTTGAACCGGGCCACTTTGGAAAGGCCGTTACTTGTCACAACTGACTTTTCTGCTACATTACAGCTGACGAAGAAGGAAGGATTTCAATGAGTTTCTGGATGTCAAAACTTTTTCATCAGTTACTTTTATTTAGCCTTTCCTACCCGGTAAAGAAGTTGTGCTGCTCATTCTGAGTCGTGTAAGGACCGGGAGTCGCAAAGCAGTGATCCAGAAGGATGTGGAAACTGAAAACAGGATAATCGGCGTTAAAAGAATACATTTATAGACTTTCATTTCCACAGAAGGAATATTTCTAAAATCAAACAGGTTGCACTTACTTTCCTGTGAGATTAACAGCCTTTACTTCCACATAGACTTTGGTTCGCAGCTGAAGTCCCGTTGATGGAACAACCAGTGGATACCTGTAGTCTGTGTCCTAGGGAAATATGGTTTGTTGAACAGAATTAGTAACAAATCTCACATATTTTGTTAAAAAAAATTGTGAAATTGTACCTACATTAAAAACGTCCATTTTAAGAGTATCAATAAAGCTTCCATTATTATGGGTGGTCGCCACAGAGACCGAGGAGCTAAAGTGAAAAGTGTATAGAAGCTTTACTGAATTAATTTTAAATGAAATTAAATAATTATGACAACAAATTAATATCTAGTGGTACTCACGCTACAATCTGTGTGTTGTTTATTAAATACTCCAGAGGGTAACGGCAGGAGAAGTGGTAATATAAATCTGTGGAGTAGCTGATGATCCCTACATCCGTATTTGAGGTGTCGATGTATGATGTGATGATTACTGACTGGATACTAGAGAAACCACTGAAGGGACCTGTAGGATCTGGGGCTTCATCCACAATCTGTACAGGGAAGAACAATATATAGTATATCAATTTCATCTGCACAGTCCTCCTTAAAAACATGGTCCAAGAGACATGTTCTGACCTGCAGAGACTGGCGGCAGGAGTTGTCCTCACTATTGTTCACAGGAAGATAGTAACGGATGACAGGAGGGTCTACGCTATCATCCATGGAGCCCAAACATGCAGCTTTGTTGTGATTCCCATTGAGAGCCAGCGTGGAGGAGTTGAAGCCTGCCCACTGGGCCGTGCACAGGTTGACCTCGATGGTTATCATGCTGGTGCCGCATCTTACCGCCAGATCTGAATTGTCTGAAAAAGATTATTTTAATTACATGCAAGATGACCACTTACTTGATATTATTTTAATCTTATTTTGGAAAAAGATGAAAGATTTTAGCTTTGTGCTGGTATTAAATCATCTTGTTTTTTGTTTTTTTTTTTTTGTTTATTTTACTATACTGGCTTGTCTGGTATTATTACCATAAATAGTAAAATTCTGAAAAAGTAGCTTTAATTAAATGCAGATTTTAGGTTTATAGCTTTCTATTTATGTAATCATTAATGACTAAACTGTAGAATTGCATCTTAGATCATGTGCAGCCCTTTAAATATGATCGTTTTATTTCTGGAATGTGATCCAACATCTGAGGTAACTATAGAATCTGAACTGGGTTTGGACTTTTTTGATGCATTTAAACTTTTAGAGTTAGCCAAATCATTATCTTCATCCAATCCTTTAATGTGTATGTTAGATCCAGTTCCAACCAAATTATTTAAGCAAGTATTCACTTTGATTTACACCTCAGTTTATAGTTAAACTATCGCTAATAGAGGGACACAGTAGGCTTTTGAGGTAGCTGTAATTATTTACTTAAGAAACCTTCCGACTATCCACAAGACAGAGATAGAGACTCAGTTATTGACCAATATCTCCTTTTCCTTTCTTATCTAAAATCCTTGAGAAAAGTTATAAACCAACTGTGTCAGCACTTACACAATAATTACTTTTTTGAAGGGATTAAGTGAGGTTTTAGAGCTCACTGTAGCACTGAGCAGTACTGATTAAATTCACTAAAGATGTACTTATGGCCTCATATGTATGAAGTTGTAAC